ACTGACTATGGGGTTATGGGTTATATGTGACTTTTGACTGGATGTGGTGCTTGGAGGGGACATTGATGTCATGCAAGGAGCTGATGGGAATTTTCTTTTGGCCCCTGGGAAAGAAAGAGGAAGTTGTATTCAAGGAGAAAAGAGGAAGTGGCCTTATGAGTAAGCATCCCTGATTTCACATTCTTCCACCTTGAACTACCACCATGAAGTCCTGTAATTGTTTCTAGGGCAAAACTCTTTCAAGTACATCATTTGGTTTGAATGAAGAAATCAAAACATAGAATTTTTGCTATCTGCCTTCCTCCACGGCTGGTGGTAAACCATTCATAAGAAATTTTGAGTCATTTCCTTAGATTTTGGTATGGTTGCCTGCATTTTAGATTCCATAACCAAAAATACAGATCAGTTCACTTTCAGAAAAAGAAGCAGCACTTAAATGCAGGGATAAAGGCCTTCAATGCAAGTATCCCTGGCAAGGTGAGATCAACATTGTGTGATACAAATTTCAACTGATTTCTCTGACTTCAAGAAAGAGAAATGTTTATATTTATATTGCTATAGCAGAATGAATCTCCTGGCCTACTATGTTTGATATGAGGTTTTTTTTTCTGTAAAGTCAAAGAATGAATTTTAGGAACAAAAAGAGATTAAGAGAAGAATGTACTTATTGAGAGAAAGAAAGCTGCTTGAGAGAGAGACGGAGTCCTGAGCAGGTTGCCAAACATTGTCCTTTCTAGGGAACTTTATAGAGTAAAATCATGTGGTGAAATGAGTTTAAGGTCCGGAAAACTAGGAACTCACAATGTAAATGGGCATAAGATGAGAAAGGGCTATGGTACCCAATAGGATTATTAAGTTCAGGTAAAGCTGATTAAATTGGGAACAAAGGGGGAAGGGAGGCACATAGAAAGCAGGCATTCTTAAGCAGCTGTGACTCTTCCCTTATGGGTTTGGGAGGGTGACTTCTGAGTTCCTCAGCATGATAGGAACTATTTAGAATGTCAGTCTTTAGGATAAGGATACATTTCTTTGAATGGTGCCTCCTGACTTCCTCAGAGTGCTGGGGAACTATTTAGAATATCTATCCTTAGGCTATGGATGAATTTGCTTATCATTGTCTTGAGCCTTGGCCCATAGCATGAGATGTCAGTCTTCCCCATAGTTGCAAGGTATCTGGTCTCCTGCATGGGCTCCTTGGAGGACCTAGCACTGGTTCATGCCAAGAGTATTTAAGTAACTCAGGTGCCTGTAACAGTACTGTTTGGAAAATTGATTAGAGATGTCTTGTGCTCTGGGTGAATGATCTGGGGATGACAATGTGCAATGTATATACCAATGTTGCCCCCTGATTGACATGTTTTGAAATTCAATTTTAGTTGATGTGCTCTTTTATCCTTGAAATAAAATGGATTTGAAAATTAAAAGCCTGAGGTAAAGCTCTTCAGTACAAACACTGCTCTGTCGAGCTGGGTTCACCACTGTAGAAGACTGACAGCTCCAGAAGTCTCTGCACTACAGTCTATCATTTGGGATCCTCACTTGCAGGAAGGGGTTCCTTTCTCTCGTTATTCTTGACTCAGAAGGAAGGTAGTAGAGCAGGAGTCAATCAGTGATGAAGGGGCAAGCTATATGAACTGTCCAATCAGGTGGGCCATTGCTGTCTGTGACTTCTGTCTCTTCTGGTGTCTCAGCATGATTTATCTGTTCTGAGTACAATAGTGGTAGCAAAACACTTGCTGGATCTCATTTAGTACGTTCGATGTCCTGTGGCCTGATTAGCAAAGAACCTGAGAGATCCTGGAACCATGGAATAGTGAGGTTGTTGATGGGAGCCCAGAAATAGGGTGGATTGGGTGAAACCAGTTACAAGTATTTAGGAGTAGTTCCGGTGTCTGGAGCCCCAAGTATTTAGTTAGCTTCAGCTCCTGAGGTCCTCCAGCATTGCCCATGGGTCATTCACTGTCCGTTTTGCCTCTTGCTGTTGGCAAGAGTGATTTGGGGGTCCCCAGAACCCTGGCTTCACTATGACAGCAGCGGACTCAAGTATCATCTTTGAAATTCATGGCTAGCCTGGTAACTCCAGCATCTTAGGCATTGGAAGGAGCTTGGGAAGACCCGGACTATGATGATTTGTAGCTTGTAGAGCAGTAATGAGCTAGGTCTCTGCTCTTTTTCCTCAGAGTAGCAGATCTGGAATGTCTGGTGTTTATTAATGTCTGTAATGTGGGGCCTCATAGCCACAATGGCTCAACTTAAACTTGGCTTTTTTGTATTTATAGTGATCTCCTTAAATTATAGTATGTTTTCATATTTCCATCCTCAGGACAGGTAGTGACAAAGATCCTGAGAATTCAGGGATTTGTAGTAGTGTGCCTCAGTGGAGAAAGGCTTCCCAAACACCTGCTGAACTCCTGTGTATTATACAGATCAGTGCAAAATAATTTCTGAACATACTTAATAATTTAGGTGGCACCCCCCCTCACAGTCTAGGTTTGTAGAGTTTTGAAGTCTGAGAAAAATGAAGCAAATATGAAAGTGTTATCTAGGACAGGGTAAATATTTGTGAAGGACAAATTCCAGAACGGGCTACCTGTTAAATTCTCATCGAAAAATGCCAAAATTTAGGCATTTGCATGGACATATACATGTGATATCCTTCCGAATGGAAAGTAATAGGGGTGTCACCTCTGAATTAAGAGCTGATTTAGTAGCTTCGTTGTTCATAGAGTGTTTAAATATGGAAATTCTTTACAATGGACTTATCTAAGTGGTGTAAAGGAGAAGCCCTAAATAGAAATTTTGCAGTGATATCAATAGTTAGGCCTGAAGGGTTTTCTACTTAGGATGGATCAGAGGAGTATGGAAAGGATGTGGAAGTGACTGACAGGATGCAGGAAGCAAATAGCAGGACATACAACAGAGAGGGTCTTCACTGAAGGTCAGGTAGTTCTTAGAGTATGTATGAGGTAAACTTGGGTTCTGATTGCTTCATTGACGTGACAACACCAGCTCTGGCAACAATCAGTATTCCACATACCTGTCAATCCATTATTTTTGTGTTCCGTACTTGAGATCTAATTTGATTATCTCTAATTATGCCTCAGTGTCATGAAAGTGAAATTTGAATTTTTTTGTACCAAGGATCAAACTCATGACCTATGCTTTCCAGGCAGGCTTTCATGCTATGGAACTAAATACCCAACTATGAAAGTGTTTTCTGTGTAGTATGGAAGATATCCACATTGTTTCTCAGAAAGTGTTGAGTATTGTTGGAATTTTTCTGTATTGTACGCCTGTAATGTTTTAAAACAAACCAAAGATGTCTTATGCAGTCTCTTGTTAAGTTTCACTTTGTTTGTTCAGTGTCTCAGTCAGGGACTGTCTGTTTTAGATGGCTTTGTGACTTAGGATAGCCCCAAATTCAAGGAAGAACTCCTTCACGAGCCTCCCAATATATATTTCTTATATTTGAATTGAAAGTGATCACTTTGTGACAGTGAGGTATAATTTACAGCTTGGGCCTGGTTTATTTTTATATACATATCTTAAAAATACAGCTGTTTTCCACTATAACACTTGAATTATTATTATTTATGTACCATATTTGATGTTATTTATGTTTTGTTCTATGAAACCAAATTAATGTTTCAAAATGCTGCTTAAGTATATTAAGAACAAAGTACGCATTGGCTTAAATGAGATTTGAAGAGACATCATCTGTAGTCTATCAAAGTGATTGATGAGATTTTTTAATTTAAATTTGAAATTGGTAAAATACAACAGAACAAGTCAGCATAAGGCCAACTAAGATCATACAGTGAAATTGGTACACAACTTCACAACAGGTTACTGGGATAACAGTAATAGGTATAACTGTATATTTTGTTATCTTTGTAATAGTTGTTCTTTAGTCACATATATCAAAGTGAGATGAAATACTTAACATTATAGAACTTATCAAAACCGAATATTGAATAGAGCAGTACCATTAATCAGAATAGAGTGAAACAATAATGAAAACATTTTCCTTAAAAGTAATAGTAGAAGGAAGTCCCCCTTATATGCTACAGTCAACTTGCCAGGAGATGCTCAGATTTCTGGTTCCCATTTGCTAATGTGGGGTGACAGGAGAAGAGGGGTAGGGAGGTGGGATGTTTGATTCTAGGTGGTGCATCAGTAGGTTCACTATTGCTTACTAGGGAGACAGGCTGATTGTTTGGTTTCACAGCGTCCTAAGTTTCAACGTAGCATGGATCTCAGGAGCTGCTTCTGGTTTTCCCCCTGGAAGGGCTGCAGTCTAACAGACTGCCACCGCTTACCAGGGAGAAGTGGTGCTTGACTGGCTTCCCAGTGTCCTAAATTCCACCATGGGATGGATCTCAGGAGCTGCTGCTGGTTTTCCCCCTGGAAGGGCTTCAATTTGCCAAACAACCACCACTGACTGGGGAGGGGAGGTTCTTGCTTGGCTTTCCAGTCAATTGATGGGATATTTATCTGCCTCTGTGCTTTGTGGTTGCTGGTCCTGCAGGCTGCTTACTGTGAGCTCTGCTTTAGAGACAGTGCACGAGGAATCTTGCCATGATTCAGCACAAGAATCAGTGTTCCTATTTGGCTGTTACATTTGCAGCGAGTTGCAAACTAGCATCAAATTTGCTGTCTTCAAAAATGTGTATATACACAAGATTAATGACCAAGACATGGATTAAAATTTGAAGAAATCAGTCTTCATTCAGCTGTTTTGTTTGGTTTTATTTGTTTAGTTTAGTTTTGTTTTATTGAGACAAGCATTCTGTATGTATATCAGGTGGATTTGAACACCCTATGGAGCCTAGAATTGCCCTGACCTCACTGATGCCATCCCATCTCAGCCTTTTGAGTGCTGGCATTATAGATATGCACCACCACACTTTGATTTGATTCAGATTTCTAGGAGAGAATTTAAGATATCCCAAACCTGGGGTCTCAACCTTTCATTGAGAAATATATGTATGATAATTTAGGAGTTGGTGACCTTTGAGGATGTGGCTGTGAACTTCAGCAATGAGGAGTGGACTTTGCTGAGTCCATCCCAAAAGAAGCTCTACAGAGATGTGATGATCGAAACCTTTAGGAACATGACTCTGATAGGTAAGGATGAAATCTTTTCGTCACTCATGTTGTCAGCATATTGTTTCTTGCTCATTAGTGCTGTTTCATGAAAAAGAATATGAAAACATTTAAAAAAATATCTCAGACCTGGACACATTATATCATAAATCTAAACAAAACCTATTAACTTGTATGTATTAGTCTAAAGAGTCCTGGTATTTCTATGTCTACAATTCAGGTGGACTCGGGGATATCCAGGAAGCTGAAAAAGAAGACAAAATTTACTGGAGCTACTTAAGGTAATTGGCACACACAAGTAGAGGAATGTTCCTGAGTAATTAGTGAGTCAGCAGAAAAATGACCAAATAAATGAGGCACCATTCAATTTAATGTCAGTAATATTCTCCGAAGATGTATAAGCTAGTGTATATATGAGGGAATTAGATCATGAAAATGTATGACATTGCATATAGATGAGTACGAAAAGAATACATTTTCAGTTATTACATTCTGCCTTCAGTTTTTCTACCCATATCTACATGTGAATATAACACATTCATTATCTAACAATTGCTAAGTTTGCAATAGAATTTTTAAATAAAACTGAGTGCTCATGTTTCCAAGCCATGCTCTAGACAATCAGCAATTCTGATGAATATTCTTAGTAGGCTGGTGGAATGTTAGTGCACTCATTTTGAATATCAATATGCAGTTGTCTCTAGAAATTGATCCCCTCACACTTGTCCTGGATATTTTTAATATCTCAAATCTGCATAAAATACTGATACATGCTTACTCATATACAAAGCAGATCAAGTTATAACAGATCAGGCCTTGAAGTTTAGCTATCTATCACTGGATTTGTGGAGAAGAAAAATGTAAATAGACTCTCTGTGATTGTGCATTTCTGTAAACCCAGCACACTAGGAATCAGATTTTGCAGAATGGCAAATTCAAGTTCAAACTTCACAGCTTAATGATCAGTGAAAATCTCTTAAAATAGATTTTAAAAAAGCTACAGATTTTATGCTAATATCTGTTGTTCATTCCCAGACCAGAGAAGAAAAAAACGTGTTATATAATGTAAAAAAATAAATAATATAATGTCATTTGCCATAAGAAATAGATGGGTCTTTCACCCATCAATTCAGTGAAATAGCTCAGCTATTAAACCTAAAAGGTCACAGGGTTTCTTTTAGAAGAGACACCAAAATATAAATTGTGGAATGAAATGAAAGAAAGTTGATAGAGAAAAGTAAGACTGACCATATGGAAAAGGGAACTACAGGTTAAGGACAGAGGGAGATTGTGATGGGGAAACATATCAGAATAATCTGTATGTGATACCCATACGTGCCCATGCCCAAAGTGAAGCTAAAGATTCTGCATTTCAAAGTACCAACTTTTAAGATTTCCAAATGTGTGCCAGTCTTTTGGGAATGGTTGTTTGCAACATATCTTACAAGGCCATTCTGTTGCTTCATAGTCAGGCTTTCTTAGCAGGCGTTAAAAACAGAACTTGACATTAATGCAGTCGTTACACAGAGACCCATTTCACTGTGAATTTTTCTTTTTTTAAACTTATATAAGAAAAGATTAAACAAAACAAATAAGTAGAAATAATGCTACTTTCAAAGTGAAAATAAACAGTAAGAAATTGCAAGATGATGATTATATATGCTGCTCATGGAAATAGTTATGAAATACAAAAGTGAAACATATGAAGTGGGGATTCAAACAGCGAGACTGCAAACAGTTTTGTTCAACTCTCCAACAAAAACTTAATAATATGGTTATAAATCTTCTATGTGATTTTTTTCTTTACAGAAATGGCAAGCTAGGGAAATCTTATGGACATACATCTTGGAACCAGTGTAAAGAAGTGTTCCTTGGTACTGCAGAAGGTAATGTGAATGTGAAAGTAACAGAAACACATGACAATGTTCAGATCCATGAAAAATATTGCAGTGGAGGGAAACCCTATGTATGTAAGCAATGCGGCAAAGGTTTTACCACACATGGGATTTGTAAGAAACATGAAAGAATTCACAGAGGAGAAAAACCCTACATATGTAATCAGTATGGGAAAGCTTTTACAACACATGCATATTGTCAAGTAAATGAAGGTCTTCACTCTGGAGAAAAACGTTATGAATGTAAGCACTGTGAGAAAGCTTTCAATACATGTACTTATTGTGTAATTCATGAAAAACTTCACACTGGGTGGAAATTGCATATATGTAAGAAATGTGGGAAAGCTTTTAGCAGTAAAATTCATTTTCAAATACATGAAAATGTTCATACTGGAGAGAAACACTATGTGTGTAAGCAATGTGCAAAAGGTTTTATCCAACCTGGAAATTGTAAGGAACAAGAAAGAATTCACACTGGAGAGAAACCATATGTATGTAAGCAATGTGGGAAACCTTTTAAAACACAGGGAGATTGTAAGAAACATGAAAGAATACACACTGGAAAGAAACCATATGTATGTAAACAATGTGGGAAAGCTTTTAAAACACAGGGAGATTGTAAGAAACATGAAAGAATTCACACTGGAGACAAACCATATGCATGTAAGCAATGTGGGAAAGCTTTTAACAGACGTGCAAACTGTAAGTTTCATGAAAGAATTCACACTGGAGAGAAACCCTATGTATGTATGCAATGTGGAAAAGGATTCACTAGTTCTGGACATTGTAAGAAACATGAACGCATTCACACTGGAGAGAAACCATATGTATGTAAGCAATGTGGGAAAGCTTTTAACACATGGGGAGATTGTAAGAAACATGAAAGAATTCACACTGGAGAGAAACCCTATGTATGTAAGCAATGTGGAAAAGGATTCACTAGTTCTGGACATTGTAAGCGACATGAACGCATTCACACTGGAGAGAAACCCTATGTATGTAAGCAATGTGGGAAAGCTTTTAACACACGTGCAAATTGTAAGGTTCATGAAAGAATTCACACTGGAGAGAAACCATATGTGTGTAAGCAATGTGGGAAAGCTTTTAACACACGTGCAAATTGTAAGGTTCATGAAAGAATTCACACTGGAGAGAAACCATATGTATGTATGCAGTGTGGGAAAGCTTTTAACACATGGGGATACTGTAAGCAACATGAAAGAATTCACACTGGAGAGAAACCCTATGTATGTAAGCAATGTGGAAAAGGATTCACTAGTTCTGGACATTGTAAGCGACATGAACGCATTCACACTGGAGAGAAACCCTATGTATGTAAGCAATGTGGGAAAGCTTTTAACACACGTGCAAATTGTAAGGTTCATGAAAGAATTCACACTGGAGAGAAACCATATGTGTGTAAGCAATGTGGGAAAGCTTTTAACACATGGGGATACTGTAAGCAACATGAAAGAATTCACACTGGAGAGAAACCCTATGTATGTAAGCAATGTGGAAAAGGATTCACTAGTTCTGGACATTGTAAGCGACATGAACGCATTCACACTGGAGAGAAACCCTATGTATGTAAGCAATGTGGGAAAGCTTTTAACACACGTGCAAATTGTAAGGTTCATGAAAGAATTCACACTGGAGAGAAACCATATGTGTGTAAGCAATGTGGGAAAGCTTTTAAAACACAGGGAGATTGTAAGAAACATGAAAGTTCACATTCAACATAAAACCAGTGTATATAGGCATCATGAGAATGGTTTCAGCACATGTACATATTGCATAATGCATGAAAATCTTCACACTGGGCAGAAAACTTACATATGTAAGGAATGTGGAAAAGGTTTCAGCAGAAATGCTCACTGTACAATACATTATAAAATTTACATGGTTGAGAAACCCTGTGTGTATGTGAAGAATGTGGGAAAGCTTTCACCACACATGAATTTTGTAAAATACATCTATGACTTCACACTGGTGAGAAAGTCTATGTATATAACAATGTGGCAAAGCTTTTACTGCATACAGTCATTGCAAAACACATGAAAGAATTCACACTGGGAAGAAGCACTGGCTATATAAGCAAGTGGAGACATTTTCAGCAGCCAGATGGTAAATGAAATACATGAAAAAAACTCACACAAGAGATAAATCCTATGTGTTATGGGAATACTCTCCGCATACTTGATCATTGTTACATATCTGAAAGAGCTCACTAGGCAGAGATGATATGTGGATTAACAATGTGAGAAATATAGCAATCCATGTTTCTTGTTAAATACATAGAAAAAGCATCACTGTTCAGACAGTTTAGATCTAAGTTTACTTTAAAAATCCCAAGGAGACCTGAAGAAATAATCAATACAGAAGTTAGATGTCAATATTTCTTCACAAATATTCCAGAAATGACAAATCTGAGCTGGGGCTCTCCTTAGGTGCACATGTTGTATGGTTTTCAGTTAATCACTTGTACCTCTCTAGATTTTTTAATCTAGATGTTTTTGTGCTTCAACATGGCATCTTGTAATTAAACATGCTAAACTGAAATGGGCTTTTCACTTTCAAGTATGGATAGTGCCTCCGTACTTAATATTTTGTCTTTAAAACGTAAATTTTGTATTTTCTGGTGAATTGTAATGTTGTTTATTTAAAGAGAAAAAAAGTGTAGAAATAATATAGAATTTCAGAAAAATAAACAATAAGAAATCACTAGTTGATTAGTATCATATTGTAATCTTAGAAGTAGTTGTTCAAGTTACAAATTTAAAGCATACAAAGTGATATTCAAATAATGACACTGTCACGGTTCACCTCAATGATCCACAAAAAGTTATTAATATGCCTATCTGTCCTACACACTTTTTTTTCTTAAAGAGGGTAAGATTAAACATAGTGAAACAGAGCAAAACAGTTCATAAGGAAACAAGTTAAGGAAACACAGATTTCAAAGCAAGTCCACTGGAAATGTTCACTTTCTAGCTTACTGTCTCTAGTTTTCTTCCAAATAGTTGTTCCCATCCTCACACACATTGAATATATACTGAATATTATAGAACTAATCAAATAATTACAGGACGATGCAAGCTTTTTGGATCTTCAAGACTGATTTTGGGGAAGTCCATAATGACTACCATAATGTCTCTCATTGTCTTTGTAGTAGCTGTCTTTATCTTTATGTATGCTGAAATGGAACATAAGAGACTAGACTAATATCACTCTGCACAGTGAATAATAGTATCCTGAGAAGGAGAAAGGTGAGGAATTGCCTAAAAAAAGAAGGCAGAGGACATAGTTAAAAGTGTATCAGGATTTAAAAGTTACAGTAGTCTTGTTGCTCTGTTTAGTTTGGTTGTATTTTGTTCTGGTCTGTCTACTCATATTAGATTTGAGGGCACAGAGAGATAACCCAAAAATATCAGGTTATACCATGGTAATTATCCTTAATTTCCTATTAACTAAAACTGAATCCCTATATTACTTATTGTCTTCTATGACTGATCTTCTTTGAAGCTGGATTGTTTCAATGTTATTTGGCCTTGACTGATTTTATTCACATTTGGTATGCTTGCTGGTATCAAGTTCAAGAGCAGAGGCAACTACTCTGAAGATGACAAGGTGCAATAGATATCCATTGGTGGGCTGGGGATTTAGCTCAGTGGCTTAAGGCACCTGCCTGGAAAGTGTGAGGTCATGAGTTTGATCTCCAGAGCCAAAAATAAATAAATAAATAAAAGATATCCATTCCAGGTTTGATTATTTTTTTAATTAAAGAGAAGAAAGGAAATAAAAAACAAGGCAGTAAAAGGGTACAAGTAATACAGAATTTCAAGAAAAATACAGAAAGAAATCACTAGTCAATAGGTTACATATTGTCATTGCTAGGGTTATTTCCAAAAGATGAAAAATATTAACAAACGATGAGAAATATAAAATAAAAAGTGGCCTTTATTCTGAGAACACGGAGAGAGATGACCGGCACCCCCACCGCTGGCGTCGAGCGATCTCTCCGGCACACACGTGACGTGGGGGCCTGTAAATAGGCTCGGTTTGGGGTGGAAACTAAGGCGGGCATTAGGGATACACAGGTAGCCCATTGGTCCTAGGTTTGGCACCATATGTAAATTTCCAGGGGCGGTAAGATGGCGTCACAGGTAACTTCCTAGGGGCAGGGGAGATGGGGCTTCCTGCTTCCGGTTGTGGCTTTCCTGGCTACAGTATCCTATCTGGGCCAAAACCCTGTCAGTCATCTTAGAAACAGTTGTCCAAATTATAAAATTAAAGCATATAAAGTGAACATTCATACAGTGAGATTGCAGAAAGTTCTGTTCAGTGATCCAACAAAAGCTCAGTAATATGATTTTCGATCCTACACACTCAAGCATGCAGTTATATCCCTTAGACCACCTTCCTTTCCTCTCCTTTTTACAATAACAGTTACACGTTTTGAGTTTTTTTACTCCCACAGTTCTTATTACATTTTTTTGAAGAGAATAAATCCTAACATGACTAAATAAAACAGAAACAATTAGAATAGAAGGATGAGCATAGTACATGATGCAAAAATAGAATATCAGATGATCAAAAATGGTTACCATTGCGCCTCTTGCTATTTTTAAAAAGAGTTACTATATCATCAGGTATAATAGAATTGATCAAAACTGTACAGAACAAGACCAATAAAACCTACACTGGAATCCTGGCAAGACTTCAAAAGAAGATAATAGTCAAACTATAATGGGCATCATAATAAATCTTATTGCCTTCAAAGTGGTTGTCTATACACTCAAACTTGATACTATCCAACAAAATAGAATATAGTAAAATCAAACACAACAAGATGTGGAGAGCAATACTGGGGTCAAATCAGGTTAATAGGAAAACAAATAGTTAATATAATATATCCCGCTATTTTTAAATTTAGTTTTTCCTTAATTGAAAAAAATAAAAAAGTTTAATTTAAAAAAAGGGGTGGAGATTGAGATAAAAGAGGACATTGTAATAGAACAACACTGGTCAGAATGGAACAATTTAATTATTGTGTTTCACTCCCAGATAATCTAACATAATAGTAGTCACCATAGTGCCTCATTCCTTGAATTATTTGAGTATAACTTCATATACGATAGCATCAAGCATATCAAGACAGTGTAAAGCCATTCAACAGAATGAAAGAATTACAGGGTATTTAGAACCAGTTAACAGAAAACGAACAATGGTTTCTATATTATCTCCTTGCCTATAAAAATTTTTCTTTATACTATCACATACAGTAAAATATAGTAAGATACAACATGTTAAAACCAGTGGAAACAGATAGTTTGTTAGAAAGGGACCATTCTTGCACCACTGAGATTGAGCCCAGTGTTGATCATGTTGGTTAATTTTGAATATGCTGGTGAGTTAACTTTGTAAACATTTAGCTGAACACTTTTGTTTATGTTTGGTAGGAATATTAGCCAACAGAGTGTTTTCATTTATATTATTTTTAACACATTATTGTCTGGCTTCATTCTCAGGATAACTTTAACTTTGTCACTTAAAAGAAGTTGGTGGTGGGTTTTCCTTCAAATTGATCAAAGAATTGAAAAACAAACAGTATTTATTCTTTATTATATACTGGATAAAATTCACCAGTGCACTTTTTGTATCCCAGCTTTGTTGTTGTTATTAACAAGCTGTGATTTTTACCCATTGCCTGTGCTCCTTATTGCTCTGTTCATCAGACTATTTCCTTCTGATGCATGTGGTTTGGGGACATCAATGGACACCACATATCCATTAAGAGTCACATCTCATTTTACTTATGGATGCCACCATTTATTTTGTATCTTCAAACTACCTCTATAATATATAATTTTGTGAGTAACTCCTTTCAGTTACTCAGATTTAATGCACATTCTTGCATGGTGTGGTTACTGCTGGAGGAAACTGGTCCTGGTGAGGGCCTGGTCTCTAATTTAAAGCTTCATACCCTGACCTGCCTGCTGTGTCCCCATCTGCTGACCTGCTCCCTGTAAACACCTGCCCTGCTCCATAGCTATGGTGAGTCCACATGTGGCAGTTCAGATCTGCACCTGGGTGGAAAACATTCAGTCAAGTTGGGCTCTGTAACAGACTGACCTCATACAGAGCTCCCCTGAGTGAGAGAGGGGACCTCAGGCATGTAGGGAGGAGCTCTGGAACCATTCCAGCTCTCTCCTGTGCAGTGTACAGTGTGTGATGCATTCCTGACAACTTACTGATGGATGAGGAGGCCTGAAACAGGCCTTTTTTAGCCATGGTGTCCTGCACCTCTGCCTGGACCATCTCTCTGACTTTAGATCTCCACATAGATCTGAGCAGACTCAGTCTTCCTCTACCAGGCTCTAACTCTATGCTGAGGTTTCAGGTGAAAAATCTGAGACCCTCAAATTAATCTTATATGCATTTAACGTGGAAATTCCACTTCTAACAGTCATTATAAAAATGAGATTGACAGACACCGTATTCTCTTCTTAATCAGTTAAGATGTGGACTGTTAGAAAGCATGAATATTCCACAGCACAGCTGCTGAGTTAATTATAAATTACAGCCACTGAAAATGCTGAAAGAAGGCTTGTCCTAGGCCATGTCCCTGATCTTTCCTGAGATTGAAGAGAGCTTGTGCCCTGGCTCTCTACCCAGCAGTGAAGAGACACCG